AATCCAAAAGAATATATAAAATCAAGATTGATAACATTTTTATGGGTTTAAAAAAAAAATTTTCACCTAAGACTTTTTTCTGTTTCATTAAAATATTTCTTACCCAGATGCCTTTTCTCTATTTGCATTTGGTAGAAATAGGATTTTTTTTTGTTCTCCCTTGATTAACTGGTAGGAGGCTGTGTGCAGGATTCACTAGAACTAGAGTTACAGTAGGGAAATTGTAGCTCCTAACTCCTGTTCCAAGCTCCTATCCCTTCAACTTTTGATAGGTCAAAAGAAGGACCACTGTCTCAACTCTAAACCACTGTGTCTTATCTGGATCATGTGGAAAAAAAACAACACGTTTTACCCTCAGATTTGCTTGTTCTATTTGCTTTTCCTTTTCATTAGCCATCCGCAGCAGCTCTGCTTGATGTGCAGCTTGGACAGACTCCAGTTGTCGACGAAAAGCATCATCCACACAGCGCAGCTTGTCAACTGCAGCTCTGTATAGGAACATTAACACCAAATAATGCATGACAGCTATCAGACCTAATGTTTTAAATTAAAATAGCACCAAATAAAAGGGTTGGACTTTCTGGCTCAGTGGCAACAGAAAAACTATACTTCATGCTATAATATCCCCTTCTTCTTTACAGCAGAATATAAGCTCCGAAAACAATAGTGATGGTGGGATATTGTCTAAATGTTTCTACTTTGCTCTCTGTGCTGGCCTTTTATTGACCACATAAAATAATAGTTATTTATTTTACACGGCTCAAAGGTATAGTGGAGGATTTTCACAAATTTTTTAAAAGACCTGCCCTCACTATTAAAAAAAAAAATACACATACACAACCCTGTAACCGTTCGAGAGCATGCATAAGCCAATTTCTCCTCGTGCACGCTCCGTTTAAAAGTTGATGTTTGCATCGCTCATACAAGCTTACTTTCCAAAAGAAGATTTGAAATGTTTCCACTATGTCTGACTCCCCACTGGAAACTAAAAATGGGGATGAGCAGGTAGGACGGGCTTACGTAAACATATCACCAGAATGATTGACAATTAGGAGGACCACTTACCGTATTTTGATGATCCACAAGGAAAAATAACATCCTCCACTATACCTTTATACCTAAATTCTCCACATAATTTACTATAACTGCAAATAAAATTATAATTACAAGTGCTTTGCGGATGCATAAAAGAATTGTACAGAAATCTGCGGTTACTTGTGTGCCTCTGATGCTTTATCCTTTTCCTCCAGCAGCTGGCGCTCCTTAGAATCAAAGTTTTCCTTCATTTGCTTCACTTGGCTTTCTAGTTGTGTTAGCAGCTCAGCTTTCTCCTGCCACTTCTTGTTTGAATGACTAATGAAGAAGGAGACTCAAATCAAAAGAATTCGTTTTTTTCTGACACAAATATAAAAACAGATATTGTGTCCAACATGAGAAGTGAATTTTCACTAAATAAAAATAGATTAATCTAATTGACTTTTGGAATGCATTTACATGCTTTTCTTTCTAAGAGCTGATTTATCCAACAGCTGGGAATAAGACCTTTTGATTTCAACTAATGTCAGACATGTTTTTCTTTTTCCACTCTATATTTAGATTTGCCTGTAAACTCTCTTGACATCCTTCAGCTCTGCTTCCTTGTCTTCCAGCTGCTGCTTCAGCTCCTCTTTACGCAGGCTAAGATGCTCCAGCTGGTCCTTCAGCTCAGCCTGCAGGCTTGTCCCTTCCTCCAGCTGCTGCTGAAACTGTTTTTGGGTCTGCACAGCTTCCTCCTTCAACCTGCGGATCAGATTGTCACGTTCCTGCAAGGACTGAACAACAAGAAGGTAATGGATGAAAATACACCCGGAGAGCTTTTTACTTCTTTGCCAAAGCGTTAAAAAAAAAAAAAGCACCGGAAACAACTTTTTCCTCTCCTAATTTACAAACAATGACGCAGCGTAAAGGAAAGAAAAAGCATTTCGATCAAAGAATAGATGTTTAACATAGAAGAAAAGAACTTTCTTTATGTTAAAGAAAAGATCTCTAACATAAAGAAACAGAATTAAAGTACCTCTTTCAGTTTGCGTATGGTTTCTGTCTGGTCATCCATGATTTTGGTTTTGATTCTAAGGGCGTCATGGTCTCTGTTGTTCTGCTTTCTCTGAGTCTCCAGCTCAGCAGTCAGCACCTCTATCCTGGCCTCTAAACGTCCCCGATCCTGAGCCAATGACGCACCTTGGAAAGAAGAATGTGCAGAAAATATATTAATCATCTCCTATATTACACTTTGCTCTCATTGTTTTAACTTGTGATGGACTAAATTAGAGGAGCATCTAATTGTTAAGCGGAAGTATGAAACTCTTATTCAACCACAGCTTATGTTTATAAGTTTAAAATGCCTCCTTGTGTGGATTTTAGTCAATTTTTGAAAAGTCTCCAAAAGGTTTCTTTTATTAATTTCCTTCTCTCTGCCCCTCTTCCATTAATGCCAGATCAGTGGTGTGTACAACAACTAATTGTCTTGTCTCAAAAAGAAAAAAACTTAGATGTAGGCAGCTGTCTCAAAAATGACCAATGGATTGCAAAGCTACTGTGAAAACATTTCTTTCTAAATGATTTTCTTACCACACATGTACAGGCCTATAAAGTCTAACAACATTTTACTGTTTTTGTTTACTGAAAATTCCTTTAGGATCCGCCTCACCCTGCTGAGCAAGCTCCTGGCCCCAAATCCTCCTCTCAGCCCTGAGGCCATCAATGACCGACTCCTGAGCCATGAGCTGAGATACCAGTTGACCTTTTTCTTTCTTTAGTGTCTCGAGCTGCAGCCCAAAACGCTGGCTTTGCTCTACCTCTGCTTCCAGGGAATGGATACGGCTCTAGCGGCGGAACAGATGCAGACTGGATTAATGATCAGTATCTATCTGTTAAGATTGGCAGAAAGTAAAGCTACAAGATTCTGCTGGTCAAAAAGGGTCAGATGCCATTTAGCTTATGGAAGAAGTATAATTTAAATCACAAGCATGTTATCTGGAAAAAAAAAAAAAAGAAGAAAAAACAGATTTTAGCATTAGACCTTGAGCTCAACGACAGCATCTTTCTTGGCTTTGATCAGCTCAGAGATGCGGTTCTTCTGCTCTTTCACCATAGCGGTGAGTTGCTGCACCAGAGAGCCTGATTTCCTCTCTCTTTGCTGGGCCTGAGAAAGGGTCGCCTTGAGCTCCGTCAGTTCTGCAGTCATGTGATCACAAGCCTCTTTCACCTAAGAAAAGTCAAAGGAGAAGTTTTTATTTATGTCTACCAGACTTGCCATTTCATCAGTCAGTCTGAAATTGTGCCCAGCAAAAGAGGTTTATACATTGATTTGCACAAAGAAACTTTCCAGAAATGCGTCTGGCAATCTGTTTCTTATTCAGAATTTTCTTGAAGGTGAACAGCTTGAGTGACGTCAAGGACAAGTTGTGCAAGTGGTGGCAATCAGGAAAAAAAAGATTGCATTTTGTTCAGAGCCTGAATGAAAGTAGGAAGTGATTTAAATACAGTTCTTTTGTAAAGCTTCTCTCCAGTGGCAATCAAAGACTAATTGTGCTGAAACAAATGACCCCGACTCAGGCTGACCTTTTATCTTCAGTCTTAAAAATTGAGGTCAGTATGGTTCTCTATCTGCCTTTTGGCAAAGAAAAAGTAGTTTCAGATTTAGGGTGTTCTAAATGTTCTAGCCATTTTCAAATTATTTTTATTATTTTATGCAATATACCTTTTATATTAGAGCTTTTGAATTACTTCTAAAACTCTATGAGACCAAGACCAGGGAAGGAATTTGGCTTTAAGCTTAGGTTCTTTGTCCAGGTGCAAAGCCTGTTTTTAACCTCCTGCCTGATGTTTCGAGTCACTCCTTCAGTATTTGCATGTTTTCTGTCATTATGCCACCTATTTTGTAAAATGCACCAATCCTGCAGGTCACTCGGGTCTTCAACAATTCAAGTTGTACGCTGTATGCGTGATAGCATCTTAGTAAGAACAGACCTCAGAGAAGCGAGTCGCCTCAATCTTTAGTGCCATCCGGAATTCATCTTCCAAAGCAGCGTATTGTTTCCTGCCTTCTGTCAGCTTCTCCTGCAGCTCCGCCTCCCTCTGCTGATGTCTCTGTTCCACTGCTGCTACTTCCTTTGACACTGCTTGCTGGAAATCTGCCCCGCTGGGCTGCAATCGCTGCTCCAGCTGTTTCCTGATGCAAAGTGAGAATCAGAAGACATTAACATGTATACATCCCTCTAACATCTTTAACGGAAAAACACCAACCTTAAATAACATGAAACCTCATTTTAGCTTTAAAATAAAATGTATCAGATTACCAGATAACTTAGAGAGCTATTTTACGTTATTGGATTCATTGTTTTTCTTGCAATAGAGAGAAATGTGACAAAGATCATCTTTTCATCGCTATGGAATAGGTGTACTACAGGACGCCATTTTAGGATTGCTACTATTGCTACTGCTTGCATATTTAAGTTGTAAAAATTTTCCATGCTTCTTCCTGCATACATGAAAAGGCAGTGGAGTATCTAACAGACGTCCATGGGCTTTCACATTTCCTCTGACGTTTCCTGGACTGAGAAAATCTCCTAAAATGCTCAGGGACCAAACCTACCACACATAAACTTTGCTTTTACTGCACAAGTCCAAGAAAAAGGAGCAGATATAATGCCACAGATCTCATCCACCAAAGCAAAACATTGTTTGGGCCTCTTTCATCAGGAAGATGGTTTAGATTAATTAAATCTAGGTCAACCAGACAAGAAAACAACTAATTTCTCTGAGCTGTAAAGGCAACCAACCCGTGAGTCAGACAATCCCATCCCATCTTAAACCCTCCACCACTTCAGTCTCACATTCGTTTTCTGGTGCATAACATCTCCTCAGAAACACAAACACCCCGCTGACAACCAAACAGACCATCAACCCATTTAACAGGCTGGTCTGGCACAAGCTGCACTTTATCTAACTACTACATAGTATATTCCTTTAATGTATTCTTAAATATTCTTCTTTGGAGGTTGTTTTATATCTCATACAATTGCTTCGAACAGTCTTAATAATATGTCTACTGTTTTTATTGGTCAATGAATTTATATATTTGAAGGTAGGATTCTCTACAAAATGTTATAATTGGTTTAATATGACAGGAATGATTCTTGATTTATTGGAAGGCTTATTTTAGCAGGTTGCTTTCCCCTATAATTACATATATTGCAAAAATACAAATTGTGATAATGTAAAAAAAAACAAAAAACATTGAAGGTATAAAAGGTAAACCATGATTTTATTTGTGAAATAAATAGAGTGTCATGATATAATACTTTGTTCAGTTGTACCTGTGCTCCTGCTCCCTGGATGCCAGCAGTTCATGCAGCTGCTGCAGTTTATCTTTGTGTTGTTGAACTGAGACCCTCTGGAGGTCCAGCTCTCTCCTCAAAGCTGCTGCCTTGTTCTCCAGCTCCTGGTGACATTTCATCTGTGGGATTCGGTAAAAAAAAATACAAAATCCAACATTAACATATACATATATATATATGTATATATATATATATATATATATATATATATATATATATATATATATATATATATGATCTTTTCTCTGCAAAAGGCTACAATAACTTCACAGGGTGTTGTGCAGACAAAACCCTGAAGTACTGTTTCTTAAAGAAAAGAAGCTGAATGTATACCTTCTCAGCCTGCTGGCAAGCCCTGAGAGAGTCTCCATGGGAGACGGTTTCCTCTAGTCTACGAAGCGCAGCTCTGTGTTGTTTTTCATTGCTTCGGGCCTGCTCCAGCTGCTGGGTTAGAGTCTCACACCTTGTCTCCAGCTCCTCAACACGAGTTTGCAGTTCAGAGCGTCCTGATCTCTCCTTCAGCAGCAGCTCCTTCAGTCTGGTTAATGCAGAGCACCAAGAGTTACATACTGAATTTCTAATTTAACAGCGTCTAAAATCAGGTTGGAAAAACATTTACCAATCTATTTCAAACCGTTGAGATTTACAAAAACATATGTATAGAAAAGAGGAGGGATGTAAATACTATATAAACCTGAAGGGGGGAAAATACATAATGTAAATAAGACTCCTCCGAGCTGCAATACCGCAAAGCTCCTCCAACAGCATATCAGACTGATCCCAGAACTGATGAGTCACCTCTATATTCTGTCTGATGAGGAGCGTAGATATTGACAGGAGCAGCTGTGTTTGCCGTTAGATAGTGACAGCTGAGACTGATTTGGGTAATACTGCTGTCATATGTATACCACAAACCCTTAATTACACCATCATGCAAATTAATCAAAATGGGAACGAGGTGCAAACTAGGAAAGTGCAACAGAAAACAATACCTATATGAACAGAGCAGACACAACATGTCCTCTCATAACATCAGCTTGAAACGGCTCAGTTTGAAATTTTTTTATTAATTAAATTCAGATCAACCGCTCTCCTTCCATCATGTATTAACTGTCTTCAAACATTTTTTTAGAACACAAAGCTTAATTATTATTTATATTGCCTGCTAAAAGATAAGAAAGCTCTTCTAAAAAACAGAGTCATTAGATTAGATTAGATAGAACTTTATTGATCTCACAATGGAGAAATTCACTTGTGACATCACCTCTTATAAACAACAGGTGCACAAATAAGGAAAAGGTGCATGATGTATATACAGAGCATCCAGATATATACAGTGGATGGTAAAAAATAAAGGACAGATTTAAGGTGACTTATATATACTGTATCTTATGTACAGTAAAGTGGTGGCAGGTAAAGTGCAGTTTCTGATTTGTTAAATAAGTAAATAATATAAATAAGGTAACTGAAATAGGTGAAGTAGGGCTGCAACTAACGATTATTTTGTAAATTGATAAATCTGATGATTATTTTTTTGATTAGTCGATTACTGATCAGATAGCCAAAGGTTACCTAAAGGTTTTTTACGAAATTAAACCAGATGAGAATAAAACATTTCCACTTGAGGAGTTGTAGATAGAGACTATTAACAAAAGCTTAAATGTTTATGTATTTTTTTTTTTTTTTTTACAATTTTGATATAGTTAATGCTCTAAGTGGGTTGCTGTCAGCTTAAGGCATTAAGCTGACAGTAACCCAATTGTTAACTCTACACTCCATTTAATAATTAATCAGTAAACAAATTAGTGGTCAATGATTTTAATAATTGATTCATCACGATAATCCGATTAACTGTTTCAGCCCAAAAGTGAAAGCTCTTATAGTACAGAATTATTGCAGAGGTTATTGCACAGGGTATAGAATGGTTATTGCACAGTTATTGCAGTGTTATTTCACCAGATTATAGTGCAGTGGAGTGTAAAGTCTGATGCTAGCAGGGAAGAATGATCTGCAGTAGCGCACCTTTTTACACATGGGGCATTTTAATCTGTCACTAAAGGAGCTGCTTAGCTCCTCTACGGCCTGGTGCAGGGGGTGAAAGGTGTTGTCCAAGATGGATGTAAGCTTGGACAACACCCTCCTCTCGACCACTTCTGCAACGAGTCCAGAGCGCAGAGCAGGATAGAAGTCACCCTCCTCACCAGCTTGTTCAGTCTGTTTCTGTCCTGTTCTGCGCTGCCAGGGGCCCAGCAGATGACAGCGTAGAGGAGGGCTGATGCCACTACAGAGCCATAGAAGGCTTTTAGCAGGGGCCAGCTCACTCCAAAGGAATGTTCAGTTTTGAAAGTCATTTCTTTAGGATGCCAGTGAACAAAAACAAGAGCAATAATCCATTAATGGAGAACACAATCCAGTAGAGGGGAGCCTTCCCAGGAGAGGTCTGTCAACCAAAATTACTTCAAGAGCACGCTGATAATTCAACCAGGAGGAAACAAAACAGCAGAAAAACAGCACTGCAGGCCTTCTGTTTTAAGCTAAGCTTGGTCTTCATGACTTGACAACAGGAACAATATAAGTAAATAGTTGGTACGAATCAAAAAGGGCCTTGTGGCTCTGCAGCAGGGCAATGACCCAAAGCACAGCGAAAAAAGCAACTCTGGATGAAAAAAATTGACCTAGCCAAAATCTGGATCTAAATTGAAGTCATAAAATTCAGCATGAGCTTAAACAGAGAATGTATACTATAACTATAGTTGTCCAAGTTCTTAGTGTTGACGGTAAAGATTGTTACCAGCTATTACAGATATTTGGAGTCCCCTGCTGCTGCTAATGCTGGATGAATTATTAGGTTGAGGGAGGGGAGAAATATTCTTTAAAACCTTGTCAGGTTGGACAGCTTGTTTCTCTTAATGAAAAAAAAAACATTTTAAAACTGCTTTTTAAATTACTCAGCATACCTTTTTTAAATATTGGAATTCCTTTCAAAATATGATTATCGGTTGCAACTAACGATTATTTTGCAAATCTGTCGATTTTTCTTTTTTTCCATTAATCTATTAATAATGGGATAGCTAAAGATTTCTTAAAGAAGATTTTTAATGAAATGTAACCAGGTGAAACTAAACTAGTTCTGGATAGACTTTATTGACAGAGGAGTTTTTTTTTATCTTAAATGCGAAATGTTTATATATATTTTTTACAGTTTTGATGTAATTATTGCTCTAAAGGCATATTTTATGTAAAGTAAATCCCTTTATTGTCCCACAATGGGGAAATTCACTCTCTGCATTTAACCCATCCTCTTGGGGAGCAGTGGGCTGCCATTGTGCGGCGCCTGGGAAGCAGTCTGGGGTTAAGGGTCTTGCTCAGGGAGCCAGAATGGCTGTCTGTGGGAATGAGCAGGACTTGAACTCAGAACCTCTGGGACCCAAGCGAATCGTCTAACCACTAGGCCACACTCCCCATTTTAATCCAATATTAATTCAATGAATGAATGAATTAATCCAATATTGTTTCTGCCCTAAATCCGATACATTTAACTGTGACAAAAAAGGAACAAAAAAAAAAAAAAAAGAAATCTGTAGAGGAACAAATACCTTTTTACAGTTTTATAACTATAGGCAAGATAATCTGCATGGCTAAATAACTTCAATAACCATGACATCACAATTCAAATTCTTCTCAGTACGCAGAGCACACATATGCACTTACATCTCTCTCATACCTGTCTGTGGTGTGCAGAGCCACGCTCTGAAGATCTTTCTCCTCGCTGACTTTAGTCTGCAGGCACTTCAGCTCCTCTGTCAGCTTCCGCACAGCTTGCTCAGCCTTCCAGCGCCTCTCTCTTTCCTGATCACGTTCTTCGACAATAGTCTGAATACAATTAAACAAAAGAGAGAAAATAAGTAATCTTCTAAAAACTTTAACTAATTGGTACGCAGCTATTTATCATCACTCACCCTAATCCAAGTTCTCCCAATTAACTTTAATTTAATGTTGGCCCACCCTCTGCAGCATGAGCAGCAGCATCTTAGATCGGTGTTCATGTGGATCTTTTGTTTAAACATTCTTTCAGGACAGTGTTTGTAAACTCAGACACCAAAGTTTGATGAAAAGACCTTGGACCCTGTAATCTGCACTCTATATTCCCACAGGTGTTCAGTTGGATTAGAGACAGTCATCCAGTTTAATCTCCAAACTGGTTTAAAAAACTGGGAGCAAGAAAAAAGTCAAAAAGTCTTGAGGATGTATTAGTAGGGTTGTCAAAAGTATCGATACTCAAAAAAGTATTGATACAGTGCTACCACCAGTGGCACCTAAACAGTCATTCATCTAAAGTGCAGAATAGAGGACAATGCACTTTCTGAACACTGTGTGATTGAATAATTCTACGCACTTTTCAGTTTCAGACTTTTTTTTGTAAGAGGTGCAGCTGCTGAGAATTATTTTTGTTTTTTAACTGGTTTGGCTAGTGTCATTGTTATGTGTGCAAAGCATAGCCAAGTAAGGAAAACTTAATTTTTATTTTGTACGTTTTTTTTATCAAGCTTGCTTAATAATGTGCACATCATACAACCTCAAAATATTGTTCTTATTGTTTATTGTATTTATTTATTGTATTTTTATTATTAATGAACATTTCTGTTGAATTTTGGAGTCTTTGTTTTTATCCTTGTGGTATCGAAAATGGTATCGAGTATCGAATATTTTCCACAGTATCGGTATCGAGTTGAAAAGTTTAGTATCGTGACAACCCCAAGTATTAGTAGTTAATTTCACTTGATTTTTAACGCCCAATTTTTGAATGCAGCAAACCACCATAATCTCCTTTGCGACACACTTTACATTTGACGCAGTCTAGATAAAGAGAAGAAAAGTCCTGGCAACAACCAAACCCAGATTTTTGCATTGGATTATCAGACAAAGATACGATTGTTGCCCCAGATAACATGATTCCACTGCTCTAATGGCAGGGTGATTTTACACCATTTCATCAAACACTTTGCATCAGACTGTATGATTTAAGGCTCATCTGCCATTACCCAGCTAAGGAAACTTATTAAGTGAATATCTCTATGCTCTGTTCTCAAGCTAATCTGGAGGTTTTATGAAGTTCGGAAGCTTATTGCTAGTGACTTTGAAAAACAGTTGACAACCTTGGCAAAAATGCACTGTAGCCTCCTCTGACCCCATGTAACTGTGTGTGGCCTGCCACTCTATACTAGTGACTGTCAGTCCCAAAGCCTTCCCCTTGTTAGCATACTGCGAAATATTTAGCAGAAAGATGCTTTCCTGATTGGACCTCTTGCAAAGGGAACAGCTGTGGATAAATATAAGACCCTGTACGAAATAGCTGAAAAATAGCCTGCAGGCATTCATAAAAGTTTATTTATAATTTAGAGCAATATTAATGATTTAGACTCATCTTTTATCTTTTTAGAAAAAAACTTAATATTTGTATAATCCTGAGAAATTGCCCAGCCCTAACTTGTACATGCTGTACTCAATTACTAACCCCACTAATTATGTTTCCTCAGATCTAGTGGATTGGTGACTTCAGCTTTTCAAAGAGAGAGTGCAATTCCCCAGAGTTGAGAAGTTAGAAGTTCATGGAAGTTCATAAACAGTTTTGCTTTTGCTCAAAGCAACCATCTGATAACAGCTAATGCACTGATGAAATCTGATCAGGACTTTGCAATATTGCGCTGTGGACAGATAACCTAAAGAAACAGCTCTTTGGCTAGAGAAATCATAAATATCTTTGGACTGTTTTCAGAGATTATTTTTATAAACTGTAATAACCACACATATTGAATTTTGGTGCTACAAAGACAGGAGCATTTTTATTAGATTTCTGAGCAAAAGTAAGAAGAAAAATAGTTAAATCTATGTTGTTTTTTTCTACAAGGGAAACATCCCATCTTCATTTCCTTTTGTATCAGAAGTAACTGTGTTCATATTATACTGTCTTACAAAAAGAATTGCCATGGATCCAAACAGATGAACCACTAACAACATACCCTATAGGTTTCTGCTTCTTGAGGGGACTTGGATGTTACACTGCCTGAGGTCTTAGCTTCTCTCAAAAGTCCTTTCCTGGTTTGAGATGCAGACTTTGCAGCCCCGGTTCTGGCAGCCTCTCTCCTGAGTCCCACAGCCGACTTGGACGTCCTCAGTTTATGATCCTCGCGATCACTACAAAAAACCCAGAAGACGAAATAGGTTTTGATCAGGTTCTAAGGCTAAATTCAAGCAAAAGAGCTGTTTGGTGAATATCTGACTTAACAAATGTCCAAGCGTTCAGCTCTACCATACTTTACACAACTGTAAAATATGATGTGAACTAGACTGGATAGATCAAAGCTTACAGAAACTATGGTGTATGTCATCAGCACCTAATGATGAGTCTAAATGAGCTAAGAGAGCATGAATAGCACAACATTAATTATGGAAGTGAGACTTAAAAGGAAAATTTACAAATCTTTTCATCTTAGTTGTAAAATGATTTCCTCTGCAATCAAGATATCTGATTATTAAAGTAAAAATAATCATGAAAGTTCCTTATTTTTATTTACATTTTGAAATATTATTGCTGCAGGATAAAAAAGTACTAAAAGCAAAACTGTTAAAGGATATATCAAATACTGAATTATTATACAAAATGGAAAATTTTTAAGTCTTTCTTAGAGTGTTCAGCAGTCTGTGGCATCATCAGATGGTTAGGAGATGGGAGGAATGTTTCATAAAGGAGGTGCTTCAGAGCAGAAGCCAAATCCGAAAACAGTATGAAGCTTAGTCCGAGGGGGAGACTATTTAATCTGGATGAAGGATTAGGGTGATACTTCATGTTTCTTTCTTTTACTTAGGATCTCATCTACACTGTTCTCTTCTTACTGAAGCTTTTTGAATGCATTTAATTTTTGTTCTTCAGGAGATAAAAAATAGTTTCAGTTTATAAATCGCCAACTCAAACTCAATCAGACCATACAATCAGATTAGTTAAAAGTTTTTTTAAGAAACCCATCTGACTGCATCAAGTCACGGACTTTGAAGGATTCGCTCCTCGTGGATTTGGCAATATTCACTTACATTGATGCAGAAGCAACAGTAGAGATGAAAGGCTCCCTTTTAACGGGAAGAAAACCCGAGCAGAAACAGGCTCAATGCGAGTCGCCTCCTACCAAGGCCGAGTGGGGTTCAATGAGACAGCTGGCATAATAGGAACACAGAACCAATTTCTTGTGGTCCAGACTGGGGCCATTCTGTGACTACATCGAAAGCCAGAAGATGTTGCTAAGAGTAAGGTGATCATGTAGGCGATCTGAAACAACTTTTCCAAAACTTTAGACACAAATGGCAGGTTGGTGACAGGCCTGTAGACAGCATAATGTTCTGAACTGAAGATGGGCTTTTTGAAGACAGGTTTAAAAATAGTTGAGGGTTTTTTAAGGCTTATGGAAGAATGCCAGTCTGGAGGGAAAGGTTAATGATCAAAGGACCAATGAAAGGATCAAGGATAGAGATGGATGTTTTAATTTGCTTGGTAATATCAGTGACATTTTGCAGAAACTGATGCAGAGCAATGGTGGGTTTCAGGAATTTGAGCCTGAGAAATATAGATTGCCAGAATGCATCATAGAATGGTATGGTTTCTTTAAAAAAAAAACTAATAAACAATGTTTTAACACCCTATGTAGCACTATATGTGTCTATGGTAGTTGAGGATTTTTAAATGACTACTCCTACACTTGAACGGAGTGTCCACCAACGCTTACCTTTTCTTTTCCAAGTGTAAGGTTTGAAAAATAGCCCATAAAATATATATCCAAAAGAAAAAACATGTCTCTACTAATAAAAATCCAAGCTGAGAGAATGTGTCAAAGCACAGCCCCACCTGTCTGATCTGGTGCTCTTGCTCTCCTTGGTAGTCGTGCTTGTTGTCATCATGTTACGAAACTTGGGAATTCTTGTTTGAGTTTGGTTTTCTTTCCCGCTGTCACATTCACTCTCTGATGTCCGGTCTGTGTCCCTCTTGGCTTTCCGTAACTTCATCCTGGCACAAGTAGAGCTACTTGCTTTTTCACCTGCAGGGGCCTTAGTAAATATGACATATTTACACAGGGTAACTAAGGTACTGTAAAACATGTAGAGAGTGAGTTTTGACTTAATAATTAAAACAATTGTTAAATAGTTTATAGTAGGACTGAGTAGACAAACTTTTCTTTAGGTTGCTGGAAGGTAAATTTTTCCAGGATGTCAATTTTGGTTTATAACTCAGATAAAGGCCAGGGCTGATCTGATATCTTCAGCTTGTGGTGAATTGAGAGAAAGAAAAGTTAGTTTTTCCAGTTACAACAGTAGGCTACCATGTGTTTTGTTGACACTGTATGTGACAGACCAACAAAAAAACAGAGCATGGGTAACATCATGGGGCGTTTAGACCAGGGGCAGCGGATGCCGTGATTTCTGCGAGCAAAACCAGGTAGTTCACCGCTCTGCATCTTAGATGCAATGTTTAAACGTTGGTCCACATCATCAAATAGGAGGAGCTTCAGCTGGTGAAGCTGACACCCCACACATGAAAAAATGATGAAGGGAAGAGACTGAACATTTAATGCTTCTTAAGTGCAAGTTTATGCATTTAAAATGGTCATTTGAAAAAGAAAATATATAACTAAATAAATCAAAAAAGATCATGTGTGCTACTGTTCTTTCAGATATTAAAGAAGATTTTTTTAGGTCACCCACATGTCAACTATCCAACCATTAAGCTCCAAATTGAATCAAAATGTTCGAGCCTAGGTTCTAAACTACTTCATTTGGTGCAGGTAAAACTTTTGTTTGTGCTGATTTTTTTCTTAAGACAGATTTATGTTTAATTATGGCCTATGAAATTGCCATCCCAGCAGACTACTGCTGCGCACATTCCTGATATAAAGTTATTGCATTACATTACATGTCATTCCTGTGCTGGCATTGAATAAAACAGTGGGCATGTTTACCTTCTTAAGTGGCTGGAATTATTGTTTAATTTAGTAAATCACCAGACCCTCTGCTTTGGACCTGCCATTACCCTTGGCAACCCAATGTCATTTCCTGTGAAGATCTCGCTGTCTGTGAGCATTTTGCAATAGCGCAGGTGAAAATTAACATTTGAAGTTCTCTAGTTTAGCTTATTTTTAAAGCCACCTTAAGACCTCTTGAGAGCATTCCTTATTTTATTGTTATTTTACAATATTTTGTCTGTATTCAATTTTAAATGAAAAAAGCTTCACCTACAACCCTGATTGGCTGCCGTGCCACGATTTCATAGAAGAGTTCAGATTTTTCAGCTTCAACAATCACCCCTGTTCTCTCTCCATGCGGTGCTGCTGTTTGACAACAGCTCAGCTTTAGCTAGTAGAACGAGCTGAGGGAGGAGCAGTGAACGCTCTCACCGCATGGAGTTCACCGCTGGCCGCTTAACCCTGTAATGCCAAATTTTATTTGATACATACGGTTTCTGAAATGTTTTGCGTCTGACACCTTTTGCATAATTTAATGGTAAAAACTTTGCTCAAAATCCTATTGTACACAATCAGATATACCTGATAACAGAGGGCAGACGACTACACAAAAAATAATCTTGACTTATTGCATAGTAATAAATAATTAATATAAAAAATGTATTTCTGTTTTTTCTTTTTACATATTTTGTTAAAAGGCCAAATAAGGACTTTAAACCAAAAAAAAGTAATTATCTGTTTTGTTTTATTCTTGGATCAGGCTTTAAAGGGTTAACAGCCCTTCACTGCGTGGTTTGTATAGGAATTCTATTTGATTCCACCGTACTCGCCGTGGCCACCACGCCTGGTCTGGATGCACCATTATATGCAGCTTTCAAGGTTTTTATTTTCACTTTTTTTACATTTTTACATTTTCTATACACTCTGTGTAAACAAAATGACAGTAAAAGTTGTCTAAGTCAGATTCTTTTGGGCTAAAAAAAACTATGCATGAATCTTTTTTATTTAGACATTTTAAGCCGTCCCACAGCTCTGTCAGACCTTGATTTCAATTAGGACTTAAAATTGGATGCTATCACTCTGCTGCATGGGTGCAACAGACAGTTCCTACAAACAGAAATACACTAAACAGCACATCAACTTGCCGAATGGTTAAGTTCTTTGCAGAATCAAACTATTAGACCATTATTAGTGATAAAAATATGTACTAGCCCAGTAACAACATACACATTCACACATCATCACCAGCTGCTGTGCCTGCTCTGCTTTAGGATGTAACTGCAGTTACAAAAATAGAATCGAAGTAACTAGATTGATGTAACTGTACTGCTGTCTTTTCCTAAAATAAAAATGATTGTTGCTCATCAGATATCTGATCCAGCTAGTCAATTTTAGAGCTGATATACAATCCGGGTATCAGATCTAATAGAGGGATATGAATACTTTTGCAACGCAAATACATTTACTCACAGCTATATAGTATATAAAGCCATGTAACACACCTTTTCCATGATTACAGCAGGTGTTGGATCATCAATACATTCTAATTTGCACAGTTACAAAAGAGAGGTAATAGTTTTCAGTGCTAATTTGTTACCTGTTGGATGAGCTGAGATACCTGCTGCTCCAGTTTCCTAATGTGTGTCTCATTGATGGGGTCAGGCTGATCACCGGGACAAACTGCCTGAGAGCTTCCAGTGACTTTATCCACAACAAGATCGTTGGATTTTTCTGAGGCGATCTGCTGTCGAAACTGGGTAAGCACCTTGTCAATATGAGGCGTGGTGACAGCACCCCTAACCTGCAATTGGATTAATAAAGTTCAGGGTTTTTTTATGTCTCATAATACTGATGTCCTTTCATTTTACAAGAATAGATGAGTCAATTGTGCCATGCAGGGAACCTGAAGTGTGATTCATCAGCAGTGTTAATGCTAGATACGGCTCCCCTCACAGGGGCGCCATATCTGATCACTACACTGAAAGGGCTCTTGACAGCCTTAACAGATTCCTCTAAAAGGAATCTGTTAAGGAATCCTCTTAAACCTCTTAAAGGTTTCAATAGCAAGATATAATTAAAGCCACTACAGCGAAGGGGAACCCCCAGTGCTTTGTAGACACCTGTTTGTTGTTTCTGAAGGCTGTTAAATATGAAAAACGGCCAATGATTGTTGCTTGTGCCATAGCTTCACCAATGGGACTTTAAGTCAGCTCTGCATTCTTCCAAATAAAGAAGTTCCCATTCATAATCTTTGAAAGGGTCTTGGGGGTCTTTTTTTCTATTTTAATGTACAAAAAAATGTGGATTAATTCATTTCTACAGGATTCAAGTGAAGTGTTTTTGTCATGTCTTTGTGTGGGCAATATTATAAAGAGGGACACCAATGGTTATGATGCTAGTTACCGTTTAAATCAACTATTTGTGGATAAACTTTTCTGTTGGTACAACAAATTGTAAGCATGAGAAGTTTTCAATGTTAGGAACACAAAACTGCATTGGTTTTTGTTAACACTCTTTTCTGCTATAACAATTAAGGTTAAGGCGATATGTAACAATTTTCCAACCTATCTTTGTCAGTCCAAAAAATGATGATGGACGATATATTCATGCAGATTACTTTGTGGGCAAAGAAAAGCACGCCCTCAGAGCGCATCTTCTGCACTGCTGGTAGTATTGTTAACCACCTGGACACACTGCTAAAACCCAATAAGGTCAATATGCTTCTTTTCTTGTTGAAAATATATAATTTTCGACCAATGGGAATAGTTTCTTCTTTTCCAGTTGTTCTGACTATGTTATGAGGAATTATAGTTTTTTTATTGTTATAAATTTGTTTATCTGAACGTACGAACTTTCACAAATCAAACAGACTGAAAACTCTGGGATTTTTTGAATTTTTATGAAAGGAGCACTGCTTCACTGGAGAGAATTTTCCTTTTTATTTATTTTTTTGTTGTTTAATTTTTTATTTGTGTGTTCAATCAAGACTAAGCGACCTTTAAACACACTTAAAGAAACTGCCTCTTTATGGTTCGGTGGCTGCTTGGTCTCACTTGGGAAAAAAGCTGCAGCTGGAAGGAGTTTATGTGTTCCATTAAAAACAGCATTAGGCATTAAGCGACGGTCCAAAAGAGAAAGAAAAAAAAAAATCACTCTAAATGAACTACTGCTGAATGGCTCAGTCTATCATCGATGGTGTATAGATTTATCCAATCCTAATAACAATCAACCTTTTTCTCCTAGAGCTTTAGCATCTCTGACACTTAACATCAATCATTAAAGACTTCAAAAACTCCATTGAACTAGCTAAATATTTTATTTGCAATCATAGTTCAGATATTTGACACCCAAAATACATCAACCTAATAATATCGCATTGAAGCAGTGCCTTGCAGCTGCAATATTGCAGGTACTGTGGTGTGGACTGCAGTTTAATATACGGTGAGAGATGAAACACAAATAATTAATAGTTGAAAAGAATGACAAATTACCGCTTCACTGTGGCTTGTATCGGAGGACAGCAAAAAGTCCGTATAGTCCTCTAGGCCGGGGATGTCACATAGGCTGCTTATACCTGGAGATGATGGATGTCTCAGCCGGTCCAGGCCATCCAGGACAGAAATCTGTGGCAGCGACTCCATAACAGTTTCCCAGTATCCTTCAATAAGAAACAGAACTGTATAAGAAAAATCTAAACACTGTCATAAGAAAAAACATCTTTCTTAACCATGAATATGTTGAATACTATCACACTCCATCAAAAATGATCAATTTCTGATCCAGGTCTGCCCTACTGAAGTGGCTTATTTAAACAGCCAGAAAAGGACCATCTGCATATAAAGAACATTTAATTTATAGAGAAGAAAAATGAATAATTCAGTGGTCCAGGCTCCAAATTAATCTAAAGGAAAGATACCGAGATACCAGGGGAAAAGCCGACTTGAAACACCTTCAATATCAATACATAAATATCAAAGATAGAAATGAAAAAGAACTCAATAGATTATAGTTATCTATGCTGTCAGCTTTATTGTGACTCACAAAACAATAAAAGGAAGTGGCTGTAAATATAGATGTATAAGCTATATATTTACAGCTGATATTATATTTGTAGCTAATATAAAATTGAATTGTAGCTAAACTGGCAGAAATGATTAATGATTGCATCGTTGTATAAGAAAACTTAGATGATTTATAAACAGTGAGAATCTTTTTTCTAAATAATCACCTCAGAAAACTCCCCACAGTTTGCTCAATATATTTCATAGTATGGCAAAGATAAATCTAGTTTGAAATGGAAGAAAATCAGACTTATTCTTAGTAGCAGTGCAAATACAAACCTTAAAGAAAATTTACCAAAACAGCTGGGAGAGAAAGAATGAACCATCTAATCCTAAGGCTGAACTTCTCTTTCCACTAACCAACCTTCCAGCAGGGTTACAAATATGTTTTTTTTTCTTAAACTTTTAGATAAAACCAACAGTGTTAAAATTATTACATAAAAACCAACCAGTATATATGTTATTACACATCCAATAGTCAGTCACATAAAGTTCAGAGTAATCCTGGTCCACAAAATCTGCTGGAAACCTCATGTACGACATGTGAAAACTTAGGTGACAAAATTTAATTCTTGGAAGAATTAACCACTGGTTGGATTATAAATCCCTATACACTCTACTCATGAATGTTTTTGCCAGACCGTCCTTATTGTGCAGAAGTTGTTAAAGTTACTAAACACTCTACAGCTAATAATAAAATAGGATTCAAAGATCACAAAAATTTACTTTTTACTTTTTAATAGGGTTGTCACGATACTAAAATTTTCAACTCGATACCGATACTCAGGAAAAATAGTCGATACTTGATACCATTTTCGATACCACAAGGATCAAAACAAAGACTCCAAAATTTAACAGAAATATTTTCATTAATAAATAAAATAAAACAAAAAATAATAAAAAATACAGTAAATAATAAGAACAATATTTTGAGGTTGTATTCTGTGCACAATATTAAGCAAGCTTGATAAAAACTAACAAAATTAACTTAAGTGCTCCTTACTTGGCTATGCTTTGCACACATAACAGTGACACTAGCCAAACCAGTTAACAAACAAAACTAATTCTCAGCAGCTGCACCTGTTATATAAAAAGTCTGAAACTGAAAAGTGGACAGAATTATTCAATCACACAGTGTTCAGAAAGTGCATTTTCCCCTATTCTACACTCTAGATGAATGACTGTGTCGGTAACACTGGTGGAAGCACTTTATCAATACTTCTGAGAATAAGTATCGTATCTGGATACAACGTTTTAGCATCAATACTTTTTTGAGTTTCAATACTTTTGACAACCCTACTTTTTAAATTATCATACTTTGAAATTTCTAGATTTGGTTTTGCATAATACAGACAAGATAATATATAAAGCAAGATTCAATCTACTGCCAGTTAAACATTCAAGAACTGTCTACAGAAAAAAAACATCAACAAAAAATATGCTTGTATCAAGCTGTGGAGTGACTGTGGAGTGGTTTGAATACAGATATGATGTATAGTGCAAACTGAAATAATCATAAAAAGTATAAAAACATACTTCTAAATATTTATAAGGAAGGTGAGGGATAGATCTGAAAACACCATTTGCATTCTTATATATATATGCATTCATGTTATGGACATGTGTCAACACATGGTTATTAATAGTGCCTTACGTACGAAAACTGCTCCTTTTTACATATAAGTAAATAGGCTAAAGGGGTTTGATAGGAAATTAAAAACTTCTTCCCTCTCCTTTTTCAAATCAAATCAATTAGCTACATTCTAAACAGACAGACAGATTTTTTTTTTACCCCTTGATTTATAGTTTCATTAATTCCAATTATTATTATTATTTTATTCTCTTTTCCTTTAAAACACCTAGGGTTTTTCATCCTTGTAATAAATGCAGCAATATATGTATTCTATACACTTAATCTATATTTCCTTTTTTGTCTGATGGAAATAAAAGAATCTAGATAATACTGTATGGTCGTCTCCTGCAGGCAATATTCTCATTTATATACACCGTGGGATGTTTCAACTGTTTAGTGAATAACATCTTTTATTTATATTTTTAATGGACTCTAATATTGCAAGTGCTTGTTGTGGAAATTTTAACTATCAAGGAAAAAGACACTCTTTTAATAAAGTAAGAGAAGATCCATCTTGTAATTGTCATTTTATTTGAAGGCGAACAGCGTTCAGAGGCAAACTCCACCACAGTCAGTGGTACACAGGCTGCACTGTGGTTTAGTGGCTAGAACTTTCCTGCAGCAAAAGCTCATGAGTTAGTATCCCAGCCTGCTTTCTCCTTGTATCCATGGGTTCTCTTTGAGTACTTAAGCTTCCTCCAGCATTCAATGTAGAAAGGCAATAATTTGTTAGTTATTGTCATGAAAAAGCATTTAGCAGGCCTATTGGTTGAATTCCCCGAGCAGTAGAAGTTCCACCCTGATACAGAATACAGAGCAGGCTAAAATGTTTTAGTGCAATGATCAGAACACTGCCACATTTTCCTTGTACATAATAAAATACATTCTTCTGTCTTTTTATATAAGCCCAATGGAGGATACCCCCTAAATAAATATATTATTATTCATATTTCAGGGTGTAGGCTGACAGCTCTGCAAGAGAAGAGATCATGGCTTGGATCCAGAAAACTTCTCCCTGCAACTCCCAGATAAGCTTCTCTGATTGGATGACGTGCCAGATTTAACAACTTCGGTATCTGACGCTTTAGGTACGCCTGCTACCCATCAACGTTTTAAAGCTCAAATGCACTGCATGCTTCAAGACGCACCAGGCCAGTAGGTCAAAATGTGCCAGAGGAAGCTTGACGCTAATTGACCCACATCCACCATAGTCTGTGCGTGAACATGACACCCCTGATGCTCAAAGCACATTCGAGGTGTATGAACCATAAGATCCTAAAGGTCACAGAAAGTTTTGGAAACATGCAAAAAGTACAGGAAGAGGAACAAACTAAATTTATAGCAACAGATAACTACAATTCATTATTAGCCCCTTATGTTCTTTATCCATACCAAATATCTCTTTACCTATATGGGTTTCTACTTTTCAGAATGTGCTAACTATTACATTTCCTATGCAATGATATACAGACAGTGTTTCAATTCCAACCTGGTGCACTGCAGACAGGGTTGTCTCCACCATCCTGGATTAAAACGACGCTGCGTAAACCTTGTAATCCCAGCAGGCACTGCAGGAGATGGTCAACGTTGTCTATCAGGTTGCCATGAAGACTGAGGTGCTTCAGCTTATACTCATTGCCATGAAGATACAGCAGACCTGAAAGTAAAGAGGTAATCATTGAAGCATCGTTACCTCATTTCAAGTCTCAGAAGTCTTCTCAGGCAGCACTCGACTTACCAGTAAGGTTATTGATCCGATTGTAGGACAGGTTTAATTTCGTCAAATTTACAAGGCCATTGAGTCCTGATGTTAAAAGGCAGGACATTGAAAACCAGGTTATTTCAAGAAAGAAACATTATTTGAAGAACTTGTAAGGAGTTGAAACGGTGTGCTTCATACCAGGGAAAATTGAGATTAAGCACTTACCTTCAACCTTTGTGATTAAGTTGGATGATAAATTCAGGGTCCTGAGGGAGGTGAGGGAACTAAGCCCCTCAATCTTAGAAATGCGATTGGAAGAAAGGTCTAAGTGGCGCAATTGCCAAGCAGAGGACAGACACTCGATCCTTTGGATGTGATTGCAGTGCAGATTAAGTGATGTAGTGGCAGGACTCAGGGGGAGATCTTGCAAACTACACAGAAAGAAGCAAGATCAGAATTTAAAAACGTAATCCAAGCATCTATGCTTTGTGGCAATCAAGGTCTGTAAAGAAGTTCCTGAAGCATTTCTATATCATTAATCATTTTATTCAGTTTTATTTAAGCTGTTCATGTTATGAAAATTTACATTGTAAACATTTAAATTGTAAATTATGTCCTTTAGATGCATCAATCAGGCCTTTCCTGGTCAATTCCAATTTTCTTAAGGTGCGATCTACCAAGGTTTATTTTTTTAAAAGACAGTAAAACATAAAAAACAGAGAAAAACATGAAGCAAGGATTTCGACAAAGAAATAATAAATTCCAATCTAACAAAATAAAGTTTATCACAATTCAAGCATCAAAGCATATGAGCCAAAATGTGTTCATCTTAACACTTCACACAAAAAATTGTGTTATTCTTAATTTCAATTAATTTACTGAACAGGAAATACATCCACAATTGTAGTACTTGTAATGTGCTGATCACATGGAAATCAGAAAAATTGGTACTGGTATTTGTACTTTTCTAATTAAAAGTTAATTACGCTTTATGCATTTATAAAGTAATATGATGCAAACCCAGAGCCATTAATATGGAACCGATTATATACAATTTCTCTGAAATGAAAAACCACACATTTATTCATGACTAATTACAAACTGGCAATATGGATTATGCTTTAAAAATGGTAACTTAACAACCTTAATATAAATCCAGCTGATATAAAAAGGGACATAGTTAAAATCTTGCCAGTTGGTTTAGACATGACAAATCTGAAAACCATATTTTTTCAATTTAAACAAACTATTCAGCACAATTTCTAAGTCACGTGTTATATTTATTTAACTTAACTTGCCTTTTGTTGATTTAATTAGATTTTAGGTGACAAATAAAAAATAAAAAAAGTAACAACATAAACTTTATAGTGTATAAGATCCAGTGTGAATTAATAAAAACACAGATTTTTTTTTTTTATATATATATCATGATAATGTTAAAGAAGACCTACATAACATGATCAACAAGGAGTCATTTTCTCTCCATGTTTAATACCATAATAGATGATATCTATTATGGAAATGTAAGTTTGTTTCACTGAAATAGAAACAATAATTCACCTGTTTTATAGTTGTCAACATGTTAGTGCTTTCTGGTCTGGAATGATTGGTTGGATCTTGCTATAAAAACCCTATTATCTATCATCTCTTTACGTTCTGTATGTTGGCGGTTTAAAATAAAAGAAGGACAATAATAGGACCAAAGCCAGAACTATCAGGCCCTTACCTTGTAAGCTGCTTGTCAATAAGGCTGAGCTCTTTTTCTCCCATAGCAGCAGCTTCTAGCCCTGCGGTTCAACCAGCCGGATCCGGTCAGCTAACAGGAGGAACAAATAACCCACCGCTGTCAAACTCCACGAACTAAGCAGAGAACTGAAGGGAGGCGAAAACATTTCCCAAACCTGCGGGCCAGTCGCCGCATAGACAATATTTACACATAATAATATTGTCTAGAATCACCGAGTAGCGTAGCCTAGCTTAGCCTAGCTGACATAGCATTCTGATTACGAACAGTCACATCCACAAAAAGCACTTAAAACTGTTACAGTAACCTCAGAATAAACAGATATATTCATTTGGATAAGTATAAATAAAACGCTGTGAATTAATGACTAAATGTGTTGTCGTTGGTCCACTGAGAAAAGTTAAATTCGCCGCCCTAGGGTTTACACACTTCCTGTTTACGTCACGTTGCTAACGGCAACATCCGTTTTTTTTCTTTTCTATTTTATTTTTTAATTTTTTAATGCTTTATTGGCAATTCCATGTAACATTACAGAATTAATCAAACATCAAGCATAGATATACAACAGTTGGTGAAACATGGACAATTATAGGAGAAAGAATAACTTTAAGAAACACAAGACATAGAAGGTAAAAAAAAATGAAATAAACATAACATAATAGCTAGGGGTTTACATTGAGTTAACGGTCATTTACAAAATTGTATAATTTTATAACATTTTTCTTCCTCATACATTTAAGTGATTGAAAATACAAACACAGTTCTTTAAGAAAAACGTTGAAGCTTGGCTTGGTCCTCATTTATTTGTTTTTGTGAATAAAAAATGTCCCCATCATGAGTAAAACATTAAAGGCTAGGTCTTGCAGGTTATCTGTCATTTCTATCCAAAACAAAACATTCTCTTTGTCCAGATGAGAAGGAGATTCAAATTTAGATGAACAACAGAAGCAGAAATCTTCCCAGAAAACTTTCACGTACAGACAGTAAAAAAAGAGATGACCAACAGTCTCTATTTCACATTCACAGAAGGTGCAATCATTTTCATCAAAACTAAAACGAAGCCTCAGAAATTCCTTGGACGAAAATATGTCAGTGATTATTTTGAAATGGACCTCTTTAACCTTTGGAGCAACAGGAAATTGTAGATATTTACTCCACAATTTTCCCACTTTCTCTTTTGGAAAATGCTTGGAGATTAGGTTTCTGTGGGATGTATCGGGGTGAAATTCCTTGACAAACAAACTACGTATGACATAAGCCCCATGTTTATGGTGATGCTGTACATGTGTTTGTTTTAGCAGGGGCAGAAGTTTTAGCGTCAACAGTGTGTATTGTAAACCTATAATCAATTAACTGTGGTTCATTTCAATTTATTTATCAAACATCAATTGATATAAAATGTAATTGACCAGATGGATGGGCCGGTGGATGAATCTCCATCCTTGCAAGGATATGGGGTATCAGTATGACTGATGAAGAAATTAAAGATGGAGCTGTAACTTTTCAGAGAGACAATAGGCCTAAAATCAACCCCTAAAAGAAAATACTTTTTTTAAACAACGATACACAAAAGATATCATATCTCCTTGGCATGCATTGAGGTATTGCATGGCTTGTCAGTAAATGCCTTACAGATGAAAGCTTTATCACACAGCTCCTTTCCTAACCTGAACTAAACTTGCGGGAAATGTGTTGATTCTCCTAAAGTTGTGATTTAGGCTGAAGGAAGACAGTTCACCTCTGAACATGGGAGGCTGTGTTGCTATTGCACCAAAAATCAATCACCTATCAAGAAACTGACAGACTCCATTAAATGTGTGAGTGTCTGTTATTGGGAAGAGGTGTCAGTATTAGAGCAGGGAATATTAGCCCGAACCCGACGGGACCCGAGAGGTCC